CGGAGTTAAACCACGACACTTGGTCAGCAAAGGAACAGCTACCAGCAGCTTCCCATCCGTGCCACGCAGAGGCTGGAGCAACACGGAGCAAGGGGGTTACTTTATTGAAATTACCAATTCAGCACAAATGCTCAGCATCGCACTGAGGAGCCGGGGCGCGGGTATGGAACCAAGGACACGGGTACAGAACCAAGGGCGCGGTCCAACGGGAGCAGTCGTCTCCAAGCTCGTAAGAGCCTGAAGTCACATGTTTAAAGTGCTGAGAACACCTGACCACGAGATGCCTGGCTTTGAGTCGCCTTGTTCTAAAGGCGTTTCATTCTACTTAGCACCAAGTCTAACTTCACCTTCAGTATAAATACACACCTTCAAAATGCAGAAGGGGAGTAATTTCTGAACACTTACATAGCACAAAGTAGAAAAGTTAACAAATGCTAAAAACAGCTTTTCAGTATCCTGCAGTCTACCATAAAAGCCGTCAGCGCTGGAGTGTGTGAGAAACCCGTTAGAGTCGCACGGCCAAGAGCACCTGCTGATGTGCAGTTTTGAGCCTGACCAGGTTTAACCAAGTCTTACTTGGGAAATGTGTGTGGGTCCCCAGGCTGCTACCTCATATGACCCCGTAGGATCCTAAAAATCATGGAATCACAGAACAGTTTGGGTGGGAAAGGACCTTAAAGACCATCTAGTTCCCACCCCCTGCCATGGGCAGGGACACCTTCCACTAGACCAGGTTGCTCCAAGCCTCATCCAGCCTGGCCTTGGACATTCCCAGGGATGGGGCATCCACAGCTTCTCTGGGCAACCTGTCCCAGTGCCTCTCCACCCTCTCCGGGAAGAATTCCTTCCTGATGTCCCATCTCAATCCCTCTCTTTCAATTTAACCCCATTACCCCTTGTCCTGTCACTCCCTGCCCTGGGGAAAAGTCCCCCCCAGCTTTCTTGTAGCACCCCCAGGCACTGGAAGTCAGTGTCTGCCTTCTCTAACAGTGTCTGGCACCTGCTGCTGCTCTTACTGCCAACGGTCCCACAGTGGAAACCGTCCTCTCTGCTGCTCTGCTCTTGTCTATCAAGTTCTCCAGTCTTCCAGACCAGTTCAGTTCCACCACACCACAGAGTGCTGGTCCTCCCTCTTCTTCTTGGTACAAACCTGACAGTGAAATACAACAGCTGCACGGACCACTGTGTACTAGTTACTGGTTAAACCATGCTGATTGAGCTCATAAAGCTGCGGCAGCAGGGCAGGCTGCAAGCCCTGGATACACAGGTATGTTGCTGCAGAGGATTTCAGACCATAGAACAGGCTTTACTGGACTTCCAGCCCAGCTCATTCTGCACCCAGGCCTCTGTGACAATGAAAAAGCTGCCTTTCCTAAGGTTTAAGAGCACCAACACCTGCTCAGTAACAGCCCAGCCTGTAGCATCGTTATTAACATATTTACAACATACGTTAAGAGGGTGGGGGTCAGGGGATCCAGTACAACTGAGAAGCTGGTGCGTCCAGACAGCCTTAGCACGGCCTAGCTGCTGCTAAACTTGGAATAGCCAGAGGCCCCGGAGGGCTGCGACACCTTTTTGTGTAAAGCAGCCTCCTGGAAAATCCCTCTTCCCTTGTAAAGAGGTGCAGAGATGAAAGCTCTTCTCTCCCAGTGTGCTGGCTGGCTTCAGGCTAGACTCCGTTTGCGCCGGCCTTGCTGCTCTGAGATG